CATCATTCAATATCTTGCCCCTATCAATATCACAATTTGATACTTGAATTTTCTTCTTCAGTTTTGCCAGCTTGAGAAATGCTGAACATGTTCTTCCCTTTTGGTTTTCTAACTCCAGACCTCTGCAAATTTCATTATAATAGTTTACTTTTGTGTGTGTGTGTGTGTGTGTGTGCTGCCCTTTGAAATCTTCAGTTCTTTTACTTCATCATTTCTCCCATTTGCTCTAGCATTCTCCTTTCAAGAGCAGGTTTCACAGTCTCTTCTGACATCCATGTTGATCTTTTTATCTTTCCTGTCTTTGTAATGACCTTTTGCTTACTTCATTTATGATGTTCTTGATGTCATACCACAAATCATCTGGTCTTGGGTCATTGGTATTTAATGCATCAATTCTTGAGACAGTGTCTAAATGCAGGTGGGTTATAGTCAAGTTTTTTACTTTGGCTTTGTAACTTTCTTCAGCTTCAACTTGAATTTGCATATGTGCAGTTGATGGTCTGTTCTACCTTCAGCCTCTGGCCCTGTTCCAATGTTATTGAACTTCTCCATTGTCTCTTTCCATGTTGTTGTTGTTATATGCCGTCAAGTCAAATCTGACTCATAGCGACCCCTCCTTGGGTTTCCAAGGCAGTATCCTTATGGAAGTAGATTGCCCCATCTTCCTTCCGAGGAGTGGCTGGGGATTTGAACCGCCAGTCTTCTGGTTAGCAGTCAAGTGCCTTAGCCACTATGCTACCAGAGCTCCCGTCTCTTTCCATAGATGTAGTCAATTTCATTCCTATGTATTCCATTCAATAATGTCCATGGGTATCTTTAAAAAAAAAAAAAAAAACCTCACTGCCTTCCAGTTGATTCTGACTCATAGCGACCCCTCCTTACCCCTCCTTGGGTTTCCAAGGTGGTATCTCTACAGAAGTAGATTGTGCAGTCTTCCTTCAGAGGAGTGGCTGGTAGGTTTGAACTACCAGCCTTCTGGTTACCAGTCAAATGCCTTAGGTACACCACCAGCACTCCTGTCCATGGGTATAGTCACTGTTTATGTTGAAAAAAGGTATTTCCAATGAATAAGTCATTGATCTTGCAAAATCCCATCCTGGCATAGGCACTATTCCATTTTAGAGATGAGACATTAAGTAACTGATCCAAAGACATTATTAGTGTCACTTTTAGGACCAAAACTCAGGACACTGCCTTCCCTTACCAATTTCACAGAACGTGAAATTCTTTACTATTATGTTTCATAAGGAAAATTTTTAGCTCTTGTATACATCATTTAATTGGTGCTTTGTTTTTGCCAATGGTTACTTAACATATATGGTATGAAAATATTTTGTTTATTCTTATTAAATAACATTTAACAACTTATGAAGTAAAAATCATCATCACAAAAAATATATATATGTTTAGAGAAATTCTATAACTTTCTGTTATGTTAAACCCAGCCCTTATTACTTTTACTTTGTAGTACCTTCCAGGAAAAGTGGAAAGCAATAGGGAATGCACCTTTATGATTAAAGAAAATTAAAGCTGTTGTTGATCACATATCAGAAAGAAAAAGTTTAAAATTAGCATGTTTTCTCATAGATTCAGAATATTCCTTTTATAGTTATTAAAGTATTGCTAATCTCACTTTGAACTTGTCTTTGTAATTCGAAAAGTATTTTTGCTTTCTTTCTACTCTGTAAATTCAAGACTTCTGCTGATGATGCCATATGGTGGGTTTTCCCATTACTTTATATTTTCTTTTTTTCTGAAATTATCATTTTCAAGCACCAGAAAATTCCCATGCAGTGACACAGTTTAGGTTACTGTTTTGACCACATTCTGTACTGAAGGTACTTCAAGTATACCACATTGTAAGCATACCTTTTTTTTTTCTCTCTCTCCTAGGTACCTAGCTAATGTATTGGGACCTCTTTTGAAAAACAATGAGTCCTCCTGCCAGGATAATGTAACGGGAGGGTCCAGGTCCAGGCAGACTTGACCATGGGAGCCAACACTTCAAGCAAACCACCAGTGTTTGATGAAAATGAGGATGGTGAGAAACGTGTGACAGTTTTGTTCAAAAATAGAATTTTGCAGAATTCAAATATAAGCATCTTATTTTGTTGGTTAGTGTCAAGCAAGGTATCTAGGGCTGTTAAGAAGAAGGTGGTGTTGCCAGAGAACCCCAAGGACCATGAATGCTAATAGTTGAATTTTACCTTCCATTTTCCCTAGAACTTTGGGCAACTTTCTTAGTTGTACACCGGTGACCTCCTATGTCAAAGGGGGTCTCTGGTTGAGCACATGATAGATTTAAAAAAAAAAAAAAACTTTGAGGTAAAATGATTTGTTTTCTCTTTGTTCTGTTCCCTTGACAGTTGAGGCTCCCTAGTGCTAGTTGTAAGGAGTGCTGGCAGCATAGTGTCTAAGGCACTTGACTGCTAACCAGAAGGCTGGCGGTTCAAAGCCACTCCACAGAAGGAAGATTGGGCAATCTACTTCCGTAGTGATACTGCCTTGAAAACCCAAGGAGGGGTCGCTATGAGTCGGGTCCGACTCGATGGCAAATTACAACAACAACAGTGCTAGTTGTAACACTAAATTTCTTATAATTATCAAATTACATGTGAATAAAATTGATGCTCACAATAATAGAGTGTATTCAGGCAAAGTATGTGCCTTATAAGTTTCCAACTTCCATGCTTCAAGGTTCCAGAAATATTCTACAATGTGTGGGTTAAATAATAAAGAGAAAAAGGGAACTTATAAGGCCAGACTCAGCAAGAAAAGAAAAGAAGGCATTGGATTCTTTCTTCATTCCCCAAAGAGGCAAGCTGGAACCAGGTGTGGGCTTCCTCATGTCTCTCTTCCCTCTTGTGGAAATATGAAAGCAATCTTGTCTGTATATACAATGTGCTAGCTGTTCATTGGTTGTCTGGGAAAAGGGACCTACCACTTAAATTGTGCTGGCCTCTCAGAGTGAGCCCTTAGAGTCCCTTCCAGAGAGTTCTGCTAATTGAACCACAAATGGAAAGGACAATGGAATGAAAATCATGTGATCTGAGCAACAGGTCATCTACCAGCTGTCTGTGAGGGTGGAAAAGTTTATCTTCTCACTTAATCTTCAATTGTCTCACTTTATCTTCAATTTTCTCATCAATAAAGTGAGAAGAGAGAGTAATCTTTAAAGTTCCTTCCAACTCAAAGCATTTCTGGGCTCTGGTAACATAGTGTCTAAGACACTTCACTGCTAACCAGAAGGCTGGCAGTTCAAACCCAACAGCCACTCCTGTGAAGGAAGGTTGGACAATCTACTTCCATAGTGATACCGCCTCCAAAATCCAAGGAGCGGTCTATGAGTCGGGGCTGACTTGATGGCACATAACAACAACCAAGCCACTTTGCAAAATATGTAGTTTCTAAATCATCGAGGAAAATTATTTGATTGCTGAAAGAGAAACTACAAATAATAGTGGCTTAAACAAGATGGACTTTTTTTTTTTTTTCCTTGCATAACAATCTAGCCATAAGTAACCCAGGGTGATATGTGGCTGCAAAGGATTAGACACTTTAGCTCAGACTAGTTTGCTTCATTGCTTCATCTCCATTCTTAAAGTTTTTCCCTCATCATCATGACATAGGAGGGCTCAATATCACATCCAAATTTCAGCCACTGAGAAAGTAGAGGTAGAGGAGGTTGCACCATTCATTTTAAGAAGATCTGGATGCTGCTCATCATTTTCATTCGTAGGCCCAAACCTAGCTAACAAGGGAGGCTGGATGATTTAGTTTGTTATCTTGTGCAGCCATGATCATTTTAAAAATAAAGAGTTTTCTTTATTACAAAAGAAGGGGAGAATTTTCAGTTTGCCATGGTTGGGGCACAACTAGAACCCTGACACAATCTTAGCTTTTGAGTATATGGAATGTGGAGATACATTTAAAAACAAAACATCTGACTATCAGTTAGGATGCATTGTTCCAAACTAGTTACATTTAGAAGCCCATCCTTACTACTTATGCAAAATATTACAAAAGAATTCTGAAATTCCAACTACTTATTATCTTATTAATGATCTAATTATCTGACATTTTGCATTTATGACAATTGTAAAAAAATCTACTATTTATTTTGTGCATTGACATTGTAAGTCTGGAAATAACAACACTGAGGTACAAGGTGAGAATAATGCTGGCTGTGATGGGTATGTGTCAACTTAGCTGGGCCATTATTCTCAGTGGTTTGGCAGTTATGTAATGATGTAATTTGTCAGTTATGTAATCATGTAGTCATTCTCCATTTTGTGATTTAATGTGGTCATCCTTCATTTTCACATAACACCAATTTCTGCATAATAGACTTGTCTCTGGAACCTAACCATGAGGATAAGTGAGGAGTGGAGTATATAGTTAGGAAATGGTCTTAACTAATCTTTTTTTATTCTTCCATTCCTATTTCTCTCGCCTTGCTTTACTTTATCTCAACTAGTAACAGCAAGGGAGCTCTGGTAGCATAGTGGCTAAGACACTTGCCTGCTAACCAGACGGCTGGTGGTTCAAACCCACCAGCCACTCCTCGGAAGGAAGGTTGGGCAATCCTACTTCCGTAGTGATACTGCCTCGGAAACCCAAGGAGGGGTCGCTATGAGTCGGGGCCGACTCGACGGCACATAACAACAACAACAACAGTAACAGCAAAGATGTAGAGACCAATAATGTTACTTGATTTTTTCCTTCTCTAACATGGGCAGTAGGTTTTTCATTTGTTTGGTTCATTATGCTTTCTATGAATTCAGAGCTAATGGCATGTGGCTGGTCCTGAGCGAATAGAGTCAGAAAGAGAGGCCAACTTCATGCTTGTAGCCAGCTATGCATCACTTTAAGATACAGTTGTTGTTAGTTGCCATTGAAAAGATTCCTATTCATGGTGACCCTATACAATTCAGAGTAGAACTATGCTTCATAGAGTTTTCAAAGCTGTAAACTTTTGGAAGCAGATCACCAGGCCTATCTCCTGAGCCACCTCTGGTTGGGTTCAAACCACTCATCTTTTGGCTAGTAGACTAGAACTTAACTGTTTGCATTACCCAGAGACTCTTTTTTAAGGTATTAGGATAGCATTATGATGTGAAAATACAGAAATACCTAAAACTTCCTTGATTCCTTGATTTTTCTTAAAAGATGCCAAAAGAAGGTGCACATCCAAGGGGTTCTGACAAGTGGGAAATAAGGTACCACTTGATAAGTACCTGCAACAGACTCTGGGAAAAACTAGGTTGGAGGAGAATTAGACTTAAAGATCAAGCAGGTCTTTCTAGATACCCTCTAAGTTATCATCTTTTTGTTAGCTACCTTCTCAGTCTAATAAGTTTATCCCACTGCAGGGTAAAACTGAGCATAGCAACATATCTGTCCTTTCCAGAGAGGCTGAGCTGTGAATCCATTTATACACACACTTGCAAGGTGGCAGGAAGTAGAAAGGCAAGTCCAACTACAATGAGACTGTCACTGTGGTTGACACCAGGACTAGAGGGATAAACAAGATAACCCTAGCCCTTCTCTTGTAGAGTCCATATTCCAATGATGAAATCAAACAAATACATGAAACTGATCACTTCAGATTGTGTTAAAGTGCCACCAAGGAAGTGAATCTGAGTGATCTGACGGAGAGAGACAGAGTGATTGTGGAGAGGCTTCTTTAGACAGTTGGCCTTTCTGGGGAAGTGGCATTTGAGCTGAAGCTTAAAAGGAGATAGCCATGCAAATGTGTGAGAGCAACCAGAGGAATAAACATCCAAATAAGACAAAATTTGGAATGGATTATTGCCTATATTATAACATTATCTGATGAGTATCTTATTTCATTTCTGTATTAACTTCTTTGTTTGCGAGGTCATTGAAGATTTTTATATTTTTTTGATGGTGTGGTGTGATGTGAAGTATGTGCGTGGATAACTCAAATCCCAGTTCTCTGACACCAACTATATGGAAAATCAAATTCTATTTCTTTGTACGGCTCTTCTGACACCAATTGCATGTGTACCATTTCTTCCTCTGATCCTAACCACCCAGATCTAGTTTAGATTTTACAAGTAAAAGGGGACAATGCTCCAGACTACCAAGTCTGCCCAAGACCACAAACACCATGCACAAATTTGATGTCCCTGTGACACTATCACTTCTGACCTGAGAGCTACAAATTTGGGGTTTTCCCATTACCTATTTAGGATGTTAGCCAAAAGTTCAGGGGTTTCTAGGGCTCCCTCTCACTTCTGATCTCTTAGCTCTCATTACGCCCTTGGGTTTGATAATTATTACAAGGACTCATGGAACTTACAGAAAACACTATACATTATACATCTTACAATTATAGTTTATAGTAAAAAGTATATAATTGAAGAGACTCAAATGGTGAAATCTGAGGGAGCTCCCAACACTGTGTTCCATGTCTTAAAAAGGGATATATGCTCCTCTCTTGCATGCATCAATATCTTTCACCAACCAGGAAGCCCATGGAGCATCCATGTCCAGAACTTTTATTAAGGTTCATTTGTAATTCCTACACCAGCCTCAATCCCCAGAGGACTGCTGATTGGTTGATATAAGGAGGTTGCCATCAAATAATCACAAGGGAGGCCTTTCTGACATGGCCTACCAACCCCCTTTCTCCACTCTTAAGAGTCACCTCATTAATATGACCTGTTAGGTTAGGTGTGGTCTGAAACCTTCACCAAAGACACTTCCATGGTGAAGGGGGAGTATTCAAATATTTTAGAGGTTATCTGTAAGCAGCCGAAGTCAAAGACCAAATTCTTTGAGTAAAGTTATATTCCTTACCTCACAATATGCCATTCTGGGAAATTTACTTTCATTTTTTTTTTTTTTTTTAAATAATAATCCTATAAATTCTATGAAGTTTATTTGGCTCCTTGAAAGCTCTGAACTGAGCACAATGTAAAATTTTATTTGAAACTTCTTGCCAAGGAAAAAGAATGACTAATCAAAGAATATTAATGCCTATATCATTTTTTATTTCCATATTTGTCTAAAAGT